GGCTTTGCTCGGGCATCAGGTCCCCTCTGCAGAGGCCTCATTCGGAGACAACGAGGTCTCAGCATGGCTGCCCAGCGCCTGGGGACCACCGCCACATCTGGAGGGTGACAGGGCTCAGGCGGGTGGCCAGACCCGCCGGCAGGGTTGAGCCAACGCGGCCGCTCTGTCACGCAGGCCGGGCGGCTCCTGCGCGCTTCCTGGTCCCTCCCTACCACCCTGCGTAACCGGCGAGGCACACACAGGCCACTCGCCCGAAGCCTGAGTCAGAACCTGGGCTGAGGTTCCGACCCGGGTGGTCCCCACGGTGCACGTTCTTTTTCTCACAGACCCCTGGAGGAGACCAACCGGCTAGCCCCTCCGGTCCACCTGGATTTCGTGGTCGTGTTTGTCTAACACGTGTGAGGTATGTTTGTAGTTTTCTGTAACAACGACCCCAAAACTGTAGGAGCTCCAGGCCCCACAAATCAGCCTGACCTATCCTGGGCTCCGCAGACCCTGAACAGAAAGCTGAGCACCAGTGGGCACGAGCCAGGGGTCTGTGGCCCGGTGGCTTCGCGTCCAGGGCTGCGGAGGGCCCGCATCTGCGGCCCGCAGGCTGTGGGAGCCAAACGCCCGGAACTGACGGGACCTTGCCCCCGAATTCTAAAGCCACGCCCCTCCCCCAGTCACGGGAGAAAAGAAATAAAGCATGTCTTCCCTCTCCTGGGTAGAATGGGACGACTGGCAGAAAAAACCATCGACGGTGATTATTGCCGTTTCCACATCACGGGTCATTTTAAGCGTGGCTCGTGAGACACTGTTAAAGTGAAACACTAACCCTCACGACCCCGCCTGGAAGGGAAAAGGGTCTCTCTCCGGCTGAGGACAGTCCAAGCAAGGTCTTCACTGTCACGTTTATTGATGGAATCCAGGAGGGCGAAGAGAGGCAGCTGGCACATGTCCGGAGAGGGCAGCAGGCAATGCCGAAGGTCTGGGGCAGCCCTGAGCACCGCGGCAGGTGCTCCCGGGCACTCGGCACGGGCCGCTCTCACTGCCGCGCAGCGCGCCCTCACCACCCGCCCCGTCCGGAGGGGCTGCCACCTTCCTCCCTAACTTGGGCACCTAAGGGAGAACCTCAGTAATTGAGAAGGAATGGTCTTAGGGATAAGCTTTCAATGTCACACTAATTAAAGGAAAAAACTGCTGAAGAAAAAAGCTATAAAAACCGCCACATCCACCAAAGGCAGCGCACTGACAGCAGAGCCCTTGCCCAGACCCCTCGAACAGGGCGCGCCTCCAGCGTCTGAAGACGGAAACACTATTATTCCCGAGGAATCAGTTCATTAAATCCACGAATGTGTGTTGAGCATCTACCGCGTGTGAAGCTCTCGTCTCCGACAGGGGCCCTGATGGAGCGCATCAGCGAGTGAGAGACCCTTAACGCTGGTGGAAAGAGACAGACAACAGAGGTTTCGAATTAAACCCCAGCTCTGAACTGTATGTAAGGTGAAAAAGGAGCCCCACCGAAGCCCATCTGAACATTATGACGACGAGTTCCAGCAGCAAAGCAGGGCAGATCCTTGGGGTACAATTCACAGCCAAGTTCTGAGGTCCCTTAGACCAGGGGCCCCCACGGAGCAACTGGGGGTCCAATCGGCACAGGCCCGGCCGGCCGCCGGCCTCACGGGACACTGGGGCCGCTGCAGTGTTGCTACAGGATTGTTTAACTTCCTCCTCAGTGGCTTGTTACAACCTTGGTCATAAGGCTTCCAAACGGACTGCAGCGGCTGAGGTGCCGATTCGTGACCAGGGCTCGGCGCCGAGCTAAGGGCTCTGTGCACCGATCACAGGTTCCCTGGGAGCGGGGAGCTCCCGGGCCATGCCCTCCGCTCCTCTCGGAACACACACCGTCAGATTGCCCCTCCTCCACTGCCCCCGACACCGAAGACCCCCACGCCCGAGCCCTGCAGGAAAGCGGCCCCGGCGTCAGCTGTGCCTCAGCAGCCCCGGCGTGACAAGGCACCGGGGCTGTGCCGTCCTGCTCGTGGCCACGTGTCCGGAAAGGCGGTGCTTCCTTCAGGATCTTTGGGTTTCCTCCCCGCTCACAGGGCACGCAGGCGTCCCCTTTCCCTTCCCGTCCTGGGGTGCAGCCAGAGCCCCAATAATCAGTGTTGGACCTCCCGAGTTTAGGGGTGCTCCTCCACCTCCTGGACCCCCCGCTCCAGCCGCTGTCCCCCCCACCCTGCCGCCAGCGGGATCCCTGCGGAAGGCCGGTCGCTGGCCCTTCTGTTGTTGTTAGAGACACTGTTCACGTGCCCAGCTGCAGGATTCCACTTTGTAGGCGGTTTTTGAACATCCTCTTGCCCATTTGTAAAAGAAAAACAGTAACTTTGTATTTCTCTCAGGTATTATCACCTAGTCCAACAAGTATCATAAATTTACAGATTTTTTCCCCCTGAAATTCTACTAATTAAAAGTATCGAAGATCAAAACCTTTGGAATGCAGAGAAGCCCGCTCTCACAGATCGACAGTGAACGGCCACGGGCGTGTGTAACAGGCTGGAACAGTTAAAGAGGCGGTGCCTTCCAGCGGCCACTGAGCACTCAGTACGGGCCAGCCGCCTCCACAGCGTGGGGCTCAGGGGGTTAACTGCCATTCCCCCCATTTACGGACTAGGAACTAAAACAGACAGCAAGTCCGTTGCCCAGCGCCACACACAGGGCAGGAGTGGTGGGGGGTTGGGGACTGGAACCTGGAACCGCATCTGCGTGGCCCCAAGGCCCTCCCACACAGCCTTGCCCGGGGGCCTGTGCTTTGCCTACTCGGTTAAATGACGTTTGAAGGAAGAAAAATCACCGGGCCCTCGCCCGTGAGTGACTTATCCTTAAGCATCACAGAAAGCGTTACGTGAAGGCCTCCCAGGAAAGCAGAGCCCAAGTTCCTGCTCCGCGGACCCTCAGCTAAAATGCAAGGCCCCCTTCAAATGCCCGGCCAACAAGGACACCGCACTTGCGAGCCAGGACAAAGGCAGAGTTCCAAGCCCGATCACGGTGTCCAGGAGTAGTGGGGGGGGCCACACAAACGGGGTGCAATCGGGGAGGCCACGGGAGCCGCAGCGGGACTCCCCTGGGCCGGCTCTAAACCACGACACCCCGTCAGAGTTAATGTTCTCGGAGTTCCACACGTCTTCTGTCCTCTTGAGCAAGTCACCCCCTTTCTGGGCTTCGGGGCCTGTTTGTGTATGAGGTTGGGTGACCCCACCTCACGGGGCTGCGAAGATCAAAGCCCCAAGCCCCAAGCCGGCCTACAAAGGATGCTGTGGGGAAAGGCCAGGAACATGAAAGGGGTTGTTAAGAGAGAGCCTGGGGCGTAAAGGGACAGACCCGTAGTTGTAACCAACTTTCCACAGTTTCCGAACACTCGGGTTCCAGGAGAAGTTTCAGTGGTCTGGCCGCAGTCTGTCTGTCCTCCAACAGCAAGCAGGAAAAGAAGTCCCTTTATTAGTCAACAAGAAGGACTTCACATGGATATCAACACCCAAGGAAAGCCAGTGCCTTGCGGGTGCCCAAGGGACGGACCCCATTTGCAGGGCGGAAGGGTCATGGCAGCCCGCTGTCCGCCGGGGGGCCGGGCTGCTGGGCACAAGCCAGGCCCGCCCCTCCAAAGGGGTCCCCAGAGCCCGTGTGAGACCCTGGACGCTGGTCTCCGCGGTTTCCAGGGCGCGAGTTTTGTGGTCCCTCGCACGCAAAGCACTTGCTTTTCTGTTCTTTAAAGAGACGTTCGGGGCAAGGACGGAAAAAGCGCAGGGCCTGAAGGTTTCGGTTTTAGGGAGAGGGCTGAAGTGGGTCCCCCCTCCCCCCTGCTTCAAAAGGCGGCTCGGGGTCCTAACGGCCGCGTGATCCTGGGGCGCCTGGACAGCCGCGGGGCCGGGCACGGCGCAGCCCTCCTCGGGGTGCACCCGGGCGCCCCTCGCTCTGCCGAGCGCGCCGCACACCGCGCCCCCGCCGCGCCCGGGCCGGGCCCTTGAGGTGCGGCGGCCGCCGGAGGCGCCGCGGCTCCCGGAGGCGACGCGGCACGAAGCACAGCGGCGCTCCTTTGTGGCGCTTTGGCCAGAACAGCAGAACCGAGACAATGAGCGTTCTGTGCGCAGTTCCGCGCCGATTGGCTGGTCCGTCCCCCCCCCAGAAGCCCCTGATGTCATGGACTTGGAATGCGGGGAGGGAGGAAGGCGGAGAGGATTTGGGGAGGGGGACGCCTCTCATCTCTTTCCCAGACCCAGAGTCCCAGGGCAGACCCGGCGCGTTCTCCTGCGCGGCCGGTGGCAGAAGGGAGCGCGCCCCCGGCCCAGGCGCCGCCGACGGCAGACCGCTGGGCGGTCGGCCCCGAAAAGCGACCCGCGGAGGCGCCCCGATACCGTTACAGCCTCCCGGCCACCAACTTCTCAGTTTTCCTTAAAAAACCTCCCGTCCCCGCAGAGAACACCCAGAGCGGCGCGCTCGGGCTTTGTCTCGGTTTCCCGAAGCAGCAGCACTTCGCCCCGGGGGCACCGACATCCGGGAAACTAAAGGGTCCCGACGGGTCCCGCTTCCCGGCGGTGGCCGGCGTCGGGGGGACGGGCGCTCGGGGGCCTCCCTCCCCGCGAACAATGGGGGCCCCGGCTGGCCACGTACCCGCCTGACTGCGCTCGCGGCTCCCTGGCCCGCGGGTTGGGAGAGGGCGCCCGGCTGCGCGCACCGACCCCACCTAAGGGCGCGCGGCCGCGCAGGGGTGCCCCCTGCCTGGAGGGGCGCGTCCTGCAGCCGGAGCCGGGCCCGGGGGCCCCAGGCCCGCTCGGCCGGATTCCAGCTGCCCGGACCCCGCCCGCCGCTCGTCCGGCCCGCGGCGCGGGAACAAAGCCAGGAGGGAGCCGGGGGCCGGATCGGGGCAAGCGGCCACTGCCGCCGCCCGACGTGTCCGCTCCGCGAAGCCTGCGCGCGAGGGAGCCGCCCGACCCCAGGGACTCCGCCCGAGCCCGGCGCACCTTGTTCTTGACCTCGGCCGAGAGCCCGTAGGAAGGGCCCTTGTTGAAGTGGGTCATGGTGGTCGCGGCGCGGAGGGGCTGCGCTCGACTCGCGGTCTCGCACTCGGCTTCGCGCTCCTGGCCCGGGAGTGGCCGCCGCGCAGACGCCTGGAGCTCGCTCCCCTGGGCAGCTCGGTCCGACTGGGTCCCGCGGAGCCTCCGGCCCGCCCCGGAGTCCCGCACGCAGTGCCCCCGCCTCCGCCCGCGGCCTGGAGGGCTGGGCCGGCCGGCCCGACCAATGGGGCGCCGCCTGCTCCCGCCTGGCGGGCGAGGGGCGGTGCGCTCGGGCCCCGCGGGCCCGGCCCCCGCCCGCCCTCCCGCGCTCACGCCACCGCGGCCGCGGCCAGCGCCCCTCCTCCGGGCGGGGCTGCCGGCCGAGTGGGAGCGCCTGGGGCTGCCCGAGCCTGGAATTCCCGTGGTCGTCCAGGCCGCCGCGTCCGCCGCGTCCCCGGCTGCAGGCCCGCCGCCCCCCCGCCCCCCGCGGCAGGAAATCCCGGCAGCGGCCCCGCAGCCCCGGGGCCGGGAAGTGGCCCCCCTGCAACACCTGCTCCTCCCGCACCTCGCAGCCTCCCGCACCTGTCGGTTTAGCCTTTACCTGCCGCCGCTCCGGGAACGGTCGGGGCTTATGCAAAACTGGGGGCACCCCAAGTCCTGTTCTGGGTTCGCACTGGCTGCTTTTCAGAAGGAATTCAGCCGGACCGGAGTCCGCGGGGGGCGGGGCCGTGCTTGCAAACCTGGGGTCCCTGAATCGGGACGTCTGGGCGAAGAAGCGTGGCCTCGGGCGGGACCAGGCCGCGCCCTCAGTGCCCCGTGTCCCCCCCCAGCACGTGCTTCCTCTGGTCTGGGGGACAGTTTCGCCCCCGAGGTCCCAGGATGAGGGTGCTGTGGGCGGACAGCGGCTCCTGCACCAGGGGAACCGTGGGACCCGGTGTGGCCAAAGCCTGAGAAGAGGCACCGTCCCTCTCTCGGCAGCTGAGCCACCCGCACGGGGACAGACGGACTTGGAAAGAAAGCGCAGAAAACGGCTGTTAACCGGTGCAGTGCTCCGCGGGGCGGGGGCGGGAGCGGGGGCCCGGGCGGGGGTGGGGGGTGCGCTGGGAGGAAAGGAGTTGAGGCGACTTCGCTGGGGAAGTCAGCAGATAGTCACATAATTAGGTCATTCTTCCTGCGCAACGATGACGTCTTGACCCGCAATTAGTAGCGAGCCGTTTGGGCAGTTTTTCCGGCGGAGTGGTGTTGGCTGTGACTTCACCCACTTTTCTTTGCGACCCGGCCGTGTGGGAACAGCCAGGCCGGAGCGCCGGCGCAGGGTTCCGTCACCTGCCTCAGGGCGCTGGGCGTGCCAATGGGCTCACTGAAAGGTCACTGCCTGCGGAATGCTCGAGAATTGCCCTCGGTTTTGTCCTGACAAAACTGGTACGCGAAACGGGAGTCTCGTTTAATGGGCGTCACTGTTGAATGGGCACAGAGTTTTAGTTGGGGGGGATGAAAACTTTCAGGGGGCGGCCACCAAACAACGCGAAGGGGCCTAATGCCCCCTGAAGGCAGCAGGCCGAGCAGAGACCCAAGGGCGGGAGGCGGGGATGGGGGCGGGGAGACCCCAGGGGGCAGGCGGCTGGGAGAGGACAGGTCGGCTGGCCAGGCACAGGGAGCCAAACGCTCCCTCGGGACTCGGGGCGGCGGCCGCCCGTGCGGGCCACCCGCCTCCCACCTCCCTTTCCAGGCCCTCTGTCCGGCCACTCTCGGGCCCCGGGCCCCCGCTCCTCCTCGGCCTTCTCTCCCCTCGCCGCCGTCCCGCCTTGTCCCTGCTGGAAGCCACCCCAGCCAGTCCCCGCGCTGTCATGCCAGCGGCGGCGGCCTGGCGTTGAAGGGTCACCACCCGGAGAAGCCGTGCGGAGAGGCCTCGCGGGCGTCCGCGACCGCGACCTTCGCGGGGCGCGGGCGCGGGCGCGGCAACGTTGGTGCCACGCGATGCGATTCCCCTGGGAGGGGACCCGTGGGACCGCTTCCACCCGCCTTCCGGGGCGCGGGGACCGGAGGGCCTCGGGGCCTCTCTGGGTGTCCCCCGTCAGGCCGTGGCCTCTACAAAGCTGCCCTTGCTTTGGGCGAGGGTGTGGCCTAGAGCCTCTGCGGCTGCTGAGGGAGGGTTAACAGCCAGACTCCCAGCCTCTGAAGCACCGAATGATTCACATTCCAGGGTCACATTCCAGCCTCCCTTGCTGCTTATCGAAGACCTTGGACAGCTTGAGATGGTATCAAAATACTAATGCAGCTCATTCCTTTGTGACCTGTTTACTGGGTGGGCCCAGCTCCTTCTGGACGGGCGGCCTTTTCCGCCCCGAGGAGTCGTGTTCTCAGGGGTCTGAAGGCCAGCGTGGGGCCAACTGCTCGGGCGACAGACAGCCTCTCCAGATGGTGCCCGAAGTGGCTTCCCACCTGTTTCTGGAAATAAATGCGCCTACCTTTTGGCAACAAAGACATCTGGAAAGTAGGCATTTCATGCAGTAGAATTAAAAGCAGTAGCCCTGGCTGGTGGGGCTCAGTGGACTGAGCGCCGGCCTGTGAACCAAAGGGTCGCCGGTTCGATTCCCAGTCGGGGCACAGGCCTGGGTTGTGGGCCAGGTGCCCAGTAGGGGGGCACGTGAGAGGCAACCACACGTGGATGCTCCTCTCCCTCTCTTGCTCCCTCCCTTGCCCTCTCTCTAAGAATAAATCAAATCTTTAAGATAAAAGCATTAACACAGCAAACAGAACGCTAAGCTGGCCGAATTTCCCTTCCTCATCCGGCTGCATGCGCGGTGAGGGCAAGACCGCCCCGCGGCCCCACGCCCAGCCCACAGCAGCCGCTCAGCAAACACTGAGCGCGGCACGTGGGTGAGAGCAGCGCGCGGACGGCGGGCGCGGGGACGCGTTTCTGAGGGCACGCTGCCGCGCCACCCACCGCCTTGGCGTCGCTCCGCTCGTTCCTGAGCTCTCGGGGGCCTGGGGGACACGAGGGTGAATGGGCCCGTCAAGTCCCTCTTGGGGGCCACTTCCTGCAGCGGGGTCAGCGAGTGCTGTAAGGACTGTCATTTCAGGGCGTCAGAGCTGCCTCAGGGAGGGTCCGACCGGCCGGGAGATGGGTGGGGGGCGTGATCCTGGCAGAAGAAGCCGAGAAGGCAAATGCGTGGAGAGCCAGGGCGGCCCTGAGCCAGAGGGAGGAGGGCGGGGCGGGAGGGCCAGGCCAGGCCCGGCTGGGGGTCGCGGGGGGGGGGGGGGGGGGCGGGGAGTGGGCCTTCGGGGCAACGGTGAGAACCGAGGTCCTGAAACACACTCTGCGCTGGTTTCCTGAATAGAGAGGAAAATGCGCCTGGGCAAATTAGGTGTTGAAATGACTTTAAAGTAGAAGTTCTTCAGTTGATGCATCTGATAATTCATCCGAAAAAGGAAAGTAAGGAGGGGGCCCGATTCCCAGCCGCTGTAGACAAATGCCACCCCTCATCCTGGAGGCGCGCTCGCCCGAACCCCCGTCGCTCCGGAGGGTCCGCGCAGCAGGCAGCACCGTGCCCGCTGTTCCCGGCGTGTTTAGAATCAGCCTCTACATGCGATTCCGCTTCTTTCTCCAGCTTCCCAGTTTTAAGTGCTTGGGTCATGATTACCAATTTCAAAGATATTTTGCCCTCACCTAGTCTTTTTTCCAAAAGTTTTGAAGGAAATTGCTTCCTGGGGGTGTTTTATAGGTACTATTCCAAAGGCAAAATAATAATGATAATTTCAGCTCTTAAAACTTGCCCCTTAATTGCTTGGTTTTTACCAGTGCCCTACCTAAAGTTACACAGGGAAGAAAAAAAGGGAGGAGCATATGTCTGTGTGAGATTTACATTTAAAAAAAATTTTTTTAACTTATTTTTAGAGGGGGTGAGGGAGAGGGAGAAGGAGAGGAAGAGAAACAGCGACGTGAGAGAGAGGCGTCGACCGTTGGCCTCCCGCACACGCTCCCACTGGGGACCAAGCTCGCAACCCGGGCGCGCGGCTGATTGGGCACCGGACCTGCGACCTTTTGTTTCACGGGACAATGCCCAGCCCACTGAGCCACGCCAGTCCGGGCTGTCTGTGGGAGGGTGAAATGGTAATATGTTATTATCTTTAAGTATATGTTCTCAAGGCGAGGCTTCCCTTACTTCATTAAAAGCTAACGCTCAATTATTTCTCTCACGCTCCGTTTGTTCATCGGGGCCCACCTGCGGTGTACGAGCGAGACTGCCACTGGTGATCACCGCACAGTCCGCCTTGGTTGCGACCGCCCTCGTTCACGCATTATAGGGGCGGAAGAAAACACTTCTACCCCTTGGGTTCTGCAACTGGTGTCTGCAAATTAAACAGAGAGCGCTCGTCGTGCACATCAGGTGAAAACCCCGAGAAGCGGTTAGGCTGAGGGCTGAGATACCATTGAAACTGAAAGCGATAAATCGCCGAGAGGTGACGAGGCAGAGAAATCGTGGGCAAGAAAACCTGGGGGAGGAATGAAGGAGCTGGAATATTTCAGTGAGGCCCGCAGTGCAGACTCAGGGATGCGTCTCCGGGGACTGAGTCCCTCCGCAGAGGAGCGTTTGCGCCCGGAATCCAGGTGGGAGAGGGCAGGGCGGGGTCTCCTCTGAGTTGGCGGCTGCGCCTGAGCCGGCACCTGCACGCAGCCTGCAGGCCGCGGTGGGGGACATCGGGCAGCCGGCTCCGGTCTCCTTGACGTGGCGTCCTTGTCTTTCTGGTTTATCTTAATTAAAGCCATGGGATAGAGGCCACGTTTTCTGTCTGCTCCTTCCTGGTTCCCAGCCGAGTTCTGGGTACAAAGCAGGAGTCCACTTAGGTTTTATGAGTGAAAATGGCACTATTACCTGCGGAGAACTGCTGAGTCATTTCTATAACCATCAAACGGCAGGTTAATGTGTAACCCGGTAGCTGCGCAGCCTCGTCAGATGTCAGCCAGAAACGCGGGCCCTGCCAGCGCCGGCCCCGGAGGATGCGTGGAGGCTGGCTAGTGGCGCTCTTAAAATACGCACCCCTTTCCATCCGGCTGGGTTGTTCGCTCGCCAGATGCCTGGGGGACGTTCACTGTGGGCCGGCCTCTGAGGCTCCAGAAAGGCAGCCAGAAGGCAAAGTCCGCGCGAACCTCAAAGTCAGGCCTGCCCCTGCTTGGTTTTT